TTTTTTTTTTTCATATATATGCGATGGGTGAACGACGGGAATTGAACCGCGCATAGTGGATTCACCGCCTTAATCCACTTGGCTACATCCGCCCCAGACTATGTTCTTATTTTTTCATTTTTTTTTCTAATTACTAATTAGAAATTATTGATGCAATTGGATTATCCATTATTGAAAACTTCTTTCTATACGACATTTTTAATCGTACTTACAGATGGTACAATATCCCCACATATCAAAATTTTTAATCTCCTAAATTTACTTACTCTTGACTTCTACGTAAATTTGACCATGATTAAAGACCGGCCTTCTAAAAAATAATCCCACGTGTGATAGTGTTTGCCATTGACTTTTATTTATTATCATGACATATGATAGCATAAAAGAAAATTGTTTTCTTTGGAACTTGAAAGCAATCTTGAATCAGAAGGTGTTAACGACATTCGAGGAATTAAAACCATTGTTCCTGCATTCGTTTCCACACATAATCTGAGCTTCCAAAACATGATCAACCAACCTTGTAACCATTACACTGTCCTAATGAGTGATCTATATTTCTCAATAGCATCACAGGTGGTAGATTTCAGCAATCCATTGTGCACCTTGTAACCATAATCTATATTTCTCTTATTAATTGTGTTGCATATTCACATTTTGTAGTGTTAAATGTTGAAAAAAAATACATGTAGATTATTGTTTTAAGTTTCTATCATTTTGTATCTATTTTTTAATACATGGTAGCTTATAGTTTAAAGTCCAACATATTATTTATGATTATTAATTGTGTTGCATATTCATATTTAATTGTGTTGCGTATTCATATTTTGCTTTCTTTTCCTCTGGCTACTAAGATGTTTCAGTTCGCCAGTTGTCTCTAGACTGCCCATGGATTCAGCAGCAGTTCGAAAGGTTGCCCTATTTGGGAATCTCCAGATCTATGCTTATTTTCAACTCCCCGAAGCATTTCGTCGATTACTATGCCCTTCTTCATCTCTGGGTGCCTAGGTATCCACCGTAAGCCTTTCCTCGTTTGAACCTCGCCCTTCACTTTTAAGGCTATGCCATCCTAAGGTGCTGCTAAATGGATGGATCTTATCAACGTCCATGAATGAGAAACCATAGATCGAACGCCGAATCGAAAAAATTGGGTCCTATCATAAAGCTTTTTGGATCGGCTCAGTTCAGGAGTGGAGATAAGCGACTCAAACCTCTGACATCCGCCGCAGGGTAAACCACAGCCCGACTGATTCTACCATAGAGGCCAACGATAGACAATAATTCCCCCCCCCCCCCCCCCCCCGAAACACAGTTTACAACTTTCATCGTACTGTGCTCTCAAAGAGCAACTCTTCTCAAAATCTCACTCAAAAGGTGCTGAGTTGAAATCCCACTCTAACTAAGGATTCTTGTGGTAGATATTGCAATGCTAAGTACTGTACGAATGGTTGTCGATTTTACCACCAGACTAAAAGTTTCACCACAGTCTATGCCAGTCTGTTGTCCTGCACCATCTCCTACAAGGCGGGCTTTGTGCCGCTCAGATTATTTTTATGCCTGAAAATCCACAAACTTCGAATAATATTAGCATTGGATGGACGGGCACTAAGTCCCACATCTTATTTTTAATTAAAGCATCGTATTCATCCTTCATAGAAAATGTTCCAATTATGTCTTTTAAAGCATTATTGGGTTCATAGGTAGGGGAGATATGGAGGTCGTAGTAGTGGTGTGAAGATTGAAGAGTTTTCTAGGTTTAAAAATTCAATGTTGCGCTCTTGTGGTCATTTGAGGAGAATGAGTGTGATTTATTTGTGGACTTATTTGGGAAGATTGATTGGTGGTCAGTGGAGTTGGTGGTATGGGCCTGAGAGTTTGGAGATGATGAAGGTGTGGGTTGAGGCGAGGCATGCAGTGGGCCGAGATGAAAGATTGGACTGTGATGATCTATTTCCTAATGGTGTTGCGGGTGTAGGAGAAGTGTATTGTTGTGGGGTTATCTCATGAGAGGGAAAATGCGCTGAACTTTGCTGAGATTGTATGGGAGAATGAAGAGGTGATATATTTTGGTCCTCGACTCCAAGAGTTGGAGTTAGGCCGTGAGATAAGTACGGGTTAAGATATAGGCCGGCCTGCATCCAAAAACTCATAAGTGGAGACATTAGTAGCATGTAATTTGGAAAAGGGAAAGGTGTTTTCATCAAAAGTTACATGCCTTGAAATGATTATTTTTCGACTTGATAAGTCGTAACATTTATAACCTCTATGATTTGTCGGATATCCCAAAAAAACACAAGGTGATGATCTGGCTTGCAATTTTTTACGTGAGGTGGATGGAATTAATGGATAGCATAAATATCCAAAAATCCGAAGATGAGAATAAGAGAGATCCTTTTGATAAAGAATTTTTGTGGGTGTTTGATAAGCAAGCTTTTTATTGGGAAGAATGTTGAGTAAATACGTGGCCATTTGTAGTGCATGGTGCCAGAATGAAGGAGGTAGAGAGGCATGGGCAAGAAGAGTTCGAGTAATATTATTAATTGTTTGAATTTTCCTTTCATCCTTTCCATTTTGAGAAGATGTATGAGGACAAGAAAAGTGAAAACTCATACCATTTAATTTACAAAGCTTGTGAAAGGGCCTATTATCATATTCCGTTCCATTATCACATTGAAAACATTTTATTTCTTTTTCAAATGGGGTTTTGATATAAGTACGATAAGATAGAAAGATTGAATATACCCGAGATTTGTTAGCAATTGGAAACGTCCATAAAAAGTTTGTAAAATCATCAAGAAATAAAAACATAATAACGATGCCCACCCGAACTTAGGGTAGGTGACGACCATAGTTCACTTTGCACAATATCAAAAGGAAATGAAGTAAAGGATAATGAGTCATAAAAAGGTAATTTAACTTGTTTCCCAAGTGAGCAAGAATCACAAAAAAAAAAAAATTTCCCCTAAATTTATTGCAAATAATAGTATTATTTTTGCGTAAAGAAATTAAAATAAGAGCTCCCGGATGCCCTAGTCGGTTATGCCATAGTTGGGGAGATAACACGGCAAAATTAGAGGGTGTTGATGTGTGAAAATAAGGCCTTGTAGTAATTGGATATAAGTCTCATGTGCTGTCACATCTCATTAAGTCCATCCCTGTCTAAAAATCCTTCACAGAAAATCCGTTACGATCAAATTCAACTGTGACATCATTATCAGTAGTGAATTTTCTTACGGAGACTAGATTTTTAATCAATTTTGGAACATGCAAGACATTATTTAAATTTAAGGGAGGATGAGGAATTGGTCAAAAAGTATTGCCACAACCACTAATTGGAATTGTATCATCACTACCAACAATAATAATTTTATTTTTATTCATATTAGAATAAGATGTAAGGTTACCTCCATTTGAAGTCATGTGAGATGTAGCTCCTGTATCCATGTACCATTGATCATCAGGAGGGGCAATTGAGAAAGTATGCATAGCCTGTTGAATATCAGTTGGTGTATACGAAGATTGACCCAAATTTGTTGATGCCAAGTGAGCTTGGGATGGTCTTGGTCCAAGTATTGATTGTGAGGCTAGTGGTGGTTGATTTCTTTGCCATTGGGCTGGTGTGGTAGGATATGGACAAGGTGGAGTAGCCCAAGGTTGCCATGGCCCATTCTACATGGGTGGATAAGACCAATTTTGCTAATTAGCGTTCTGCCAGAATGTGTTGTGCGGCTGGTATTGTGTTTGTCGGCCACCACGATTTCCTCTGCCCCTGCCGGGAGATTGGCGACCGCCTCTTCTGTCGCCGCGATTTGTGGAGTGGCCGCCTCGAGAACCAGAGCTACCACCACGGTTAGAGTTGCCACCGCGTGAAACAAAGCCGTTGTTTCTGCCACCGCGACCTCCTCGATTTTCCCCATAATTTCTGGCAGATTGATCATCGGCAGACGCGTGAAGAGCAGTGGGATCGTAGGGGTTAGCAGCCTTTTTCGCCATCGTTGTTTCCTCCAAGATATTCATGGATCGGGCTTTGTAAAAAAAAGGGGAATGGGGTCGTCGTGTCGAATTTGTGTTCCAACGGTAGCACATGCATCAGTTAAACCGGAGACAAGTCGAAGTACTAACCTGTTGTTTGATACAGGAGCGCCAACATTTGATAATTGTTATGCTAGTGTTTTTAGATGCTGGCAGTAGGAAGAGTCATCTGGAAACTTCTCCATCCGAACCGCAGAAAACTCTTGTTCCAGGTAGAGTGCCCTTGAATTTTTATTGTTTGAAAAAATCTCCTCTAGCCTGTTCCACGCGAGTTCAGCGGTAGAATTTCGTTCAATAATGGTATGCAGAAGATCTTCAGAGATTGTGACGTAAATCCATTGGCCGTCAACTCTTGACCAGAGTTCGGGATCCGTATCTTTAAGAGATGGGGAGGAATCCAATTTAGCTGCCTCCTTGGATGGAGGAATGATTTGGTCTAGAACTTTATATGCTTTGGCATGTATTTTGAATAGTTCTGACCAGGTAATATATTGGGCTTTTTCATTATCAAGTGTGACCTTGATGAAGGTATTGATATTAGAAACGGTGAGAGCCGGATGAAGTAAAAGAGAGGAGGAAGGAGTAGGTTGAGATTTAGAGGAAGAAGAGTAGTTTCGGCCAATTGTATTGTCTGCCATTGATATGGCTGCCCAGGGAGGAAGAAAATGACGAATAAAGTTTAAAGGAATAAAAACCTGGGTTGCTCTAATACCATGTAAGAAATATTATTTTCCCTGAGTTTATTGATTTGCCTTGAGCCTCATATATACAATTATGGGCAACGCTTATATTCCTAAATAAGGTACATAATAATACAATTAATCTAAAATATTCTAAGAATAATAATATTTACACATTTATCTAATTTCCATAATCTAATAAATTCAACCATTCAAACAGTTTGATTGCAGTGCAATCACGTACTTGGAAGAATAAGTGCTTGGAAAACTTGAAAATTCACTGATTACATGAGCTTTACAAAACCTTAGAAAAGCTTATGTGCCACTAGTAGCCCAGAGTAAACAACCTTATGTGCCACATGGCACAATTGTCTTTGAAACCCAATAATAATAAATAAATAAATGTATACAACCTTATGTGCCACCGGGCATCATTGTCCATTGTCCATACAGAACAGACCCTTCAACCACACAAATTATACTCAATGAGTTTCCTTCAAGTTTAACACTGAGAAGCCCTTTCTTCTTTGTTGTTTGTGTTGATGAGAACTCACTCACAAGGGGTCTCTTTACCACTAAACTATCACCCACAACTTCACCATTGCCAATCTATTGATACATTAAGTTATTAAGTTATTTGAATCCAATAGAATAAATTTTTTAGTGTACTGGAGATCGAAGAACACAATTCTCTAAATATTATTGTTCAAAATAATAGAATCAATCTTAATACACTTGAGAAAAGCATATTTGTATATTACATAATACTTGAAACCTATTGTAAAATGTGATACATATAAAAGAGGAAAAAGCTACACAATACTTGAACGCTTCTAAGTCATCACTTTATTCTTCAATCCAGCACTATGCCTCAACATCAACCTAATAATAAAAGAAATTAGTTACATATTGAAATAAGATTTTTAAGAAAGATTGAAACTATTAATATGTTATTACCCAATAAAATTGAGAACGATGATCACCACTGCCTGGGTGGAATACTTTCTACAATATGTGAAAATTCAAGGCTGGCGGATCCTCACAAGACCCTGTTCGATTCGTTGATGTGCCAAATTCTGAAAGCGAGGTATTTTCCCAATGCTAGTTTCCTAGGGGCGAACATTGGCTACAACCGTAGATATCTATGGAGGAGCATTCACGCGGGTCAAGGGTTATTGCGAAGAGGAGCTATTCGGCGGGTGGGAGGCGGTAAAGATACGTTAGTTTGAGGTCAGTTGTGGGTGGCAGATGCAAACAATGGACCTCTGAGTACGCCATGCATAGAAGAACTTCATGATGCTAAGCTGTGCCAATTAAAGACTAGCGAGGCCATGAAAAAAAGCCAGCGAATCACATGGCTCATGTGCTCAGACAAGCTGCTGGTTCCTCTTCTTTCCTTGGGGTGTGGATTACTCACCCACCTGATTGTATTTCGATGTTGATTTAATATATCCCAGTTTCCTTAAAAAAACTATAATATAAAACAGTTAATAAATAAATATAAAAGGAAACTAAAACATGATATAGCATTTTATACTGCAACATTAAAGAAACATAAATTGCATAATCACCAAAAAAGAACTTGTAATCCTTACTTCACCTATAGAAACTAATGTTAATAGAATGGGATGCTCCAAATTGTAAAGCCAAGCTCCAAATTGCTCTTCCTCAATCTTCTGTTTTAGTCTTGGTGATGGAGTGCTAGGTTTTGGGCTATATTTATAGGTGATTTAGGAGTGTTTGAGTACATCATGGAGCTGGGAGATTGAGTTTGATTTTAACTAGGAATTAAGCATGCATGTTTTTTAGGATTTTTTTTTATTTTAATCTTAATAATTTAGACATGCAGTTGAGTTTTAATGGGAGTTTGAAATTTAGTAAATTTAACAGAGAATTAATGGAGAATATAATTTTTAACAGGAAAAGGAATAATATTATATATATTATAATAATGATAAAATTAACAATACTTATAGTATATGTTGCTTCCTATTTCTAGTATTTGTATTGTCATATTATAAAAGTGTTTTAATATTGTCCTATTGTATTACAAATAGGAATTTTGAAATGGAATTATCGTACGAATAGAAAAGTAGGAAAGAATATATTTTATTAGGAATTGTATTACACTATTTTAAAATATTAGAATATGAATTTTAATGTAGAACTATAGTACGAATAGAAAAGTTGGAAAGAATTGATTATCGCGTTTTTCGCTACTTCACTCTTGCTAGGTATAGCGTAAGAGTTGATTGTGTTGGGATGATTTCCGGATTATGCCATTCTCAAGGGATGGCTGCTCGGAGTTACCCCTAAGTTGCTAACGTCAGAAAGTAAAGACATCGGTATTGTTTGACTGCATGTCACGCGCACACAAAAGATAAACGTCATAGTGAACTAGTAAAATGAATGCTAACAAGTGGTAATCAAATGAAAGGTAGATAGGGTTGAATTGCTTAGTGTGGATTAAGATGCTTATAGAATCATTAGACGTAGGGAAAGACGATGCAAATGCTAAGTCTAGAGAGTGGCTTGTCTCCTTCCGTAAGTTATACTACTAGGACTTGTTTAGGCCTCACCTAAACTTTTCCACAAATACCTTGCCTACAACTCCTTCCCAGCCAAGCCCTGTAGGGTTCCTGAGCTAGGAAATGCCAAGGATGGGAGCTTGGATTGACCTAGCATAGGTCAATCCCTCAAACAACCATAGGAGGTGATCAAGTTCCTCTGATGCAAACAAATCAATCCCCAACAACAAGACATAGAAGCATTGCAATCAATCAATCCCTAATTCAAGAACTAAGTCACAAAAGCATCATCATCACAAACTTTCACAATTCAAACCCTAGCTAAGCTAGCCTACAATAGCCATAGAAATCATAAAAGCATTCATAAATGTAAACCTAACCAAGCAAATAGAAATGAAAAGAGTAGAGATAATACCAAACAAATAGATTAGGAAATAAAAGAAGCCTTGCAAGATCTCTTGAATTTGGAGTTTGTCAATCTCTTCCTTCAATGAATCTCCCAAGAAATCCAAGCTTGAATCTATTAATATCTCTCTACAAATTGCTCTCTCTTCAATCTCATAATGCTAAGCTATCGAAGTATTCTAAAAACCTACCAAATGTCCTCTCCAAATCTGATCTAGAATTTCTTATTTATCCCCCCCTTTCAATCCCTTCCGCAGCTCTTCCACGCAACCTTCAATGCCCCGGGCAACGCTCGTTGTTTGGGAACTTATTTCGTCCAACGCGCGTCACAAAGCACGTTGTGATACGAGTTGAACATTCTGGAAATCAGCTCTGTTTGTGCCTCTCCACAACGCACGCGGCAACGCGCTTTGTGACCTTCGTAGCTTGGTCTCGGCTTGTCTTCTTTTCCCGCTTTCGCTCCGGTTGTGCCACTTTGCCTCGTTAGTTTAAGGCCGAAGCTTACTTAAACACATATAAAACACAAAGTGTGGTGTTAATTTACAGTAAAATGCAAAACATAGCTAATTGGCACGATATTGCTACACAAAGGATTGTTTTTAGCTTAGAATTCACCATAAATGAACCCAAAAAAAGTGTGTCTTTGACACTTATCACAAGTTTCAATCAAACCAATGATCACTTAAGTGTCAAAGATACACCTAACCCCAACTCAATGATAACTTAATTCTTCCAAAGGTCGATCAAGATAAGTGTCACGCAAACGGAGGGGGTGAAGTCCCTCATATCATGTAATAAATATGCTAGTCATGCACCCTTACTAAATCTACTCAAGGAATATACTAAGGAAGCCCCATACTTCTAAAAGATAGGATGAAAACTAAAAAAGGGATACCCTCTCACACCATTCATCAAGCATGCAATCCAAAATTGGTATTCACCTCTTATCTTGCAAAGGCTTATAGCCGAGCCACACTAGTGGGAACGATGTGTACAAACCAACCGACCCCGGCACGGAGCTTCGTGTTTTAACATCGGGGAAACTTTTTGTGGTCCCGACATAAGCGCTGGTTCTCACACACTTCCACCCTTATGCCAAAGACCGACTCCCCATGGAATAGATCTCTCTGTTTTAACCCGAGGAAGTCTTTTGTGATCCCGATATAAGAAATGACTCCCTCTTTTTGCTCTATTTTTTTCTCATCTCCTAAGACATCACCATTGGGACAACCGACTTCACGTAGAGTTCTACGCTTTTTCGAAGACAGTGCAATGGAATTGCCCCAAGTCCTAGCAAGATGGCTTACCTCTTTTCTTATCTCACGAGATGGCCTCAAATCATATGACTGCAAACTCAGGTATGTTACTAAATCTTAAAACAAATATGCTGGTCATTTTTAAATATTCATTGGTGATGGTTCTCACTTAAAAATAGATACTGTTGGGGATGTTCTAGTTTCTGATGGTAAGAATGATTTATTAGTCCGTGATGTCCATCATGTACCCCAACTAAGTCGTAATTTACTCTCTATTTGTCAGTTAACATGACAATATCCTTTTAAATTGTGAATTTACCGATAAGATTTTCTGCACTAAGGAACGAGCAACAAGTCGAGCCATAATAGTGGGTCAACGTAAAGGGGATCTTTTTTTTTTTTTAATCCAAACCAAAGGAAGCACACTTTTCCAATAGACAAAAGTTAGAGAATGAAGAGCTGTGGCACCAACACCTTGGACATCCGCAAAAATCCACTGTTCAATTATTACGCACTAAGAATTTAATTCATGTTAGTTCAAATAACAAGCTGGACATTGTTTGTGAAAGTTGTCAATTAGACAATCTTAGCAAACTACCTTTTAATTCATCTTCTTCTTCCAGTATTGGTGTTTTTGACAAAATTCATTTTGACATTTAGGTACCAGCCCCTATATGTGATAGTCTTAAGTTAATTTTTTCTTTTTTATTTAGTAATTTATTAACATTTATAATAATAAGGTTTCGAAAAAAGAGATCTATTTTTTTTT